AGGATTCTCCTTCCTCCCACCTGGTACACCTGGTCGATCAAGAGTTTTAATGATCATGTTACACCCAAAAAGTGGCTTCCTGGTTCTGATTTGAATCATCTGGATAACTGCATCTAGGAGTCATCAAGTTCAAGGACTCATTGCAAGCTACTATCATAGATTTTCTGCCAACATGAATGAGAAACACCTGATGCAGCATGTAGTCACTTCCAAGGACACAAAGAGGCTATACTTAAGGTTAGATGTAGTTTTATTGAATAACCTTTACCTGCTTTTCTTAGTTGTACATGTCAATATATATATGTATATATATTATGTGTATGTATTTAGGCAGCAATCTTTCTTTCATGCACATTTCATTGAAAATGACAGAAGGTGCTTTTATATAGTTTTTTATACAATTTCTCATGCGATCTAATCATTTTTTTTCTTTTTATATAAAAATGTTCTTTTTATCCAAGCGCTTTTGGCTATACATTTTTAGCCATTTTCAAGGATTATATTTTAACTGTTAGAATAAGAAATAGTTTGTAGTATGTATGTTTTATAAAATGTAAATTTTAACAGTTAAAATATAATCCTTAAAAATGGCTAAATGTATAGCCAAAAGTGCTTGGATAAAAAGAACATTCAGACAGTTTTTATATAATTTATCATCCGAAAAGAAAAAAAATTATTAGGTCACATGAGAAATTGTATAAAAAACTAAATAAAAGACCCTTGTCTGTCGTTTTCAATGAAATGTGCATGAAAGAATGATTGCTGCCTAAATACACAAATTTTAAATTACATGACATAGTAGCCAACAAAGAAAGCAACACTATAACTTTGAGGAAAAATTTTGTTTTACGACAAATAATGAAAGCTAAGAACAAAACCCAACATATAAATAATGAAATCCAAAAACATATTGCTGTACTAAAAAACACTTTAACCAAAACTGAATATAATGAAGCACAATACCACATCAACATAAGTATTAATATTAATGATGAACTTGACCATAGACAAATAATTACAAAACAGCGGTGCAACTTATACCAAGGAAATATTCTACTTCCCAACAACCATGATAAATACATAAACCTATCAACTCACATATTAACGAATGATCAAAAGGTATTTCTAAATCAAGGACCAAATTGCCATCTCCAACCTAAATTTGACCTTCTCACAAAGAAGACTGAAATTGAAATCTTACACCAGTCATTATGTCAAATGGAAAAGGACAAATTGATAATACTCCATCCAAACCTCAAAGATCTTCTCAAGGTAGAAGGTCTAAAAGATTATATTCCACGTAATAGAAACAAGAACATTCCAACAAAACTTGAAATTGCTGCTACAGAATTAAAAACGACCCTAATGTAGTCATCAGAAAAGCTGATAAATCCAATATTTACATAATTTTGGATAAATTGGATTATCACAAAAAACTTCAGCATCTCATTGATGATCGTTCGAAATTTACTAAATTGAATAAGAACACCACTGAATCTCTAAAGAAGTATTCATGCATTAAAAACGTTATAAAGGTATATATAAATATATACAAAAATATATAAAGCAAAGTGGGAAGAAATTCTTAAGTTGTCATATTATAATGGTAATCATTTGGTCATGGCACCTGATAAAGATTTTTATTGCATTTTCCCCATTCTTTCTCTTCCCATGGGTCTGTCTCTCATTCTGGTCAGATGATACCTACTATGAGGAATATTAGATTATAATAGTAATAAAAATGAATGCATATAAGTAAGGGAGATATCTATAAGATGATAATAATAATAGTAATAAATATTGCACTTGTAATAATGAAAATAATAGAAGTATACAGTGCTACTGAGTCACTACACTACACCCATCCAGTGTTGCACACAGAGCCTTGCCGCCAGTGTTAAAATTTCAAGGTCATTAAGTGTGCATGAATCTTCAAGATTGAGGTAAATTAGGTGCTGCATAGTTTGGATCATCCCTGAATTGGTGGTCGGGATCATCATTGGTGGTATATCCCCATTTTTAAAGGTTGGCTCTACAATGACCAACAACTGTTTGGAGGTGATTCAGGCAAAGCATCACTGGAGTCAGTGTGGAGGGTATTCTGGAGAGTTAAGAGTCTGTGTTAAGGTGGTTGCACCACAGGGACAGATGCTCTGTTGTTCACTGATTCAACACAGTGTAGAAAGCTTTGTCTTGACTTGAAGTTCTTTCTCACTGGTTAACATCATGGCAGTGGATGATGAGTCATTTTTCTGCTTCAACTTCTCAAGTTGGGAGTAGACTGTCCTTATGTAAGGGGGAGCAATATCACTAAACGAGTAGAGGTCATCTAATTTAGTTGGCTTGAAACACCCAGTGATTGATTTGCAAGAGGTGTTTAAGGCAGGGTCAATTTTCTTTTCATGTGAGGATCGGCTCCATGCTGGTGATGGATATTCTGCTGTGTAGTAGCAAAGGCTGTGCAGATTGTACCAGCATGGTCACCCAGTTTTTTAGGATGTTGTTTCTTGATCTGACTTTGGCTTTAGTCTTTGTAATGTGGTACTTGTATGTAAGCGACTGGTCCAGAGTGACCTCAAGGTAGATAAGCTTGGAAATGTACGCTAATCATTTTCCATACCAGTTGATCTTGAGTTGGCAGCTTCGTTCTTCCATAGATGGAAGGCACTGATTTGGTGAAAAGTGGTTGACAGTGTAGTGTGGGATAAGACCATCCAGTGTACTGGTGAGGGAGGTCTTAAGTTCCACGAAAGATTGCTTTTGGGATGCAATGCAGAGATCATCTGCATAGAGGAAGCTCTTAGTATTTGGGTGGATGAGCTGATCATTTTTACAGTTATTGAAGAGGAGGGGAGCAAGCATGCTGCTTTGGGGAGAATAGAAACATCTAGTAGTAGTACTAATGTAAAAGAATAAGACTAAGTCTCTAAATAAATATAAAATTTATAAACACCTATATGGATACATTTGTCTATATTTCTGAGAAGAGGTATTGTAACTATTTACACTATTCAGAGTGTTTTTCTCATCTTTATTACCATATTCATGACATTTCAGCCGTTATGTGCTCCAGTCTTCTTCAGCCAAACTTTCTTGGAATTTCAAACTGTTCCCAAGGACACATGGCCCAGTAGATAAAAGCATTGGTTAATTGATCCAAAAGTGATATGACCCAAAGTGTTGTTAGTTCAATACTCAATAATGTTCAAGAGGGAACAAAAAGTTAAAAAGTTAAGTTATCAAGGGGAATTAACTGAAACTGAGATATCTAAAGGTATGGTACGTGAACTTAAAACAATCTACACCCATGGGACTAAATAAAGGGTGTGGTTCAAAATTCCAAGAAATATCACCTAAAGAAAGCCAGAGCATACATCTGCAAAAATGATGTGATATGGCAATAGAAATGAGGACAACTGTTCAAAAATGTAAATAGTGTAAATATCTATATGGTTAAAAAAACCCTGAGGACAAATCCTTGGGTCCCAAGACAGTCTGGTGTTATGTTCAACTTCATTCTAGCAACTCCTGTGACACCGCCAATGACAAACTGTATTGAAATCTACCTTTCCTTTGGGCAACATCAGTGGCATGGAGAGGGAAGATGTGCTGCATGAATAACCAGTGATCTTTCTTCAAACCCTACCCAGGCTAGCAGCCTAGAGAGAACAATCCAGCATTGTGTCACAGTGACAGTGAAACACAAAAATCAACAGTCTACAGATGGGAGGATTCCATTGGTACTTCTGTATGAGGAACTAGTCACTGACAAGATGGAAGTGGAGCAACATCATCTTCACTTCAAGGACATCTGCAAAAGGGATATGAGGGTAATGAATATCAAGAGGTAGGAAGACGTCACCAATAATCACTCATGCTGGAGACATGATTTGCACCAAGGTCTGGAATGAGGAGAGAAGAAAAGGAGTTTTGCCACTGGGGAGAAGCATGCTCAAAGGAAAGAAAACATCATGTCAACATCAGGGAAGAGCATCTTCACATGTATTCATTGCAAGCAAGACTGTCACTCCTATGTGGGCCTATATAACCATAACAGATGCTACGACACCATCAGCAGCTGAGGCATAACTTTTGGAGTATAGATCCATAGTCTCTCAAGATGCCACATAATAATATATATTTTAATTATTTCACCCGAAACAAGGCAATAGGCCCATGAAGATGCAAGGGATTATTCATTGTGAGAGAATATGAGAAAATTAAAATTATTAAAGAAAGAGAGAGGGAGAACAATAAAAGAATAGGAATTAAGATGGAGGATAACAATTGACATCACATTTAAAATTTTGAAGATCAAATTGAAATTATTATAAGAAAAAGATTTTATAAATTTTGACAGAAAGTAATGCTAATTGTTAATTAAATGAATAACATGTTTCCCATTAAGGAAACTGCTAATCTCACCCTTACCATTAACATATGCTCTTAATATCATTTAACAATAAACATTGAACAAATGTATGTGAAGATATACAAGAAGTTTGAATCAAATTTAATGTTCATCAGAAACCTTTGATCTGAGAAGAGTTGTTCTGTGGTGATTCTAATATGTACTGGGTTCATTCTAAAAAGTAAGTTTTGTATTTGTTGTCACCTCAGAAAGTGAAAAGACCTTGGAGCCCTGAGAGTTGACCTAGGAGAAATAAAAGCTACCAGATTCTGAATTGGGCCTCAAAGGATGTTGGTGTATGCATCAACATAAACAAAGAAGTGAATCCATCTGAACTTGGGATATACACACACAAGATAACAGGAAGTTTTATAAGTTCATGAGCTATGAGGAGAGAAGGAGAATCCCTCACACTCTTGCAAGAAGATCAAACATTTGGAGAAAGACCCAAAACCACATATCTCCGATTTGGCTCATTAGTTTTTTTTTATATATGGAAAATTTTCTTTGATATTTTTTATCACATGTTATTAACATTACATAAAGTTTTTGGTCAACACAATAATTAGAGAATTAGTTTCATTATTGTCTTGAAACATCAGTTCTTGTCTGATCACTGAAGTTAAGCAATGTTGAACATGATCAGTAACCAGATGGGTGACCACTTGGGAATACCAGGTGCTGTAAACTTGGTTGTGTAGGTGGTGAAATGGATAACAGCTGAAAATTGGAAATTGGAGAGCCAAGTGAAACAAACACTTATGCAGTTGACTGACGTATTGTGTGAAGTTAATTAGAATAAAGAAGGTTATATTTCATTAAAAAAACTTTTAAAGCTTCAAAAATAAATTTCTCTTTTTGTTGTAACAAATATGTTTTTTTCAAATTAACTAGAAGCAAATGTTTCTACTTTATTTATTTTTTCAAGTTATCAGAAATCTGGTACAGAATATTTTGCATTACTGAAAATATTATTCTGCACATATTTATATGAAATTATAATCAGTTTTTTTCTTTTTAATTATTTCACCCTAAATCAAGGCAACAAAACCACTAAAATACAAGGGGTTACTGAGTGTGAAATAATAAGAAAAAGAAAAACATTATTAAGGATTGAGAATAACAAAAGAAGAGAAACTGAGAAAACAGTAGGTAACAATTGACATTTCATTTAAATTTTTAAACATCAAAACTGGCTGGAAAGCAAGAAACCAGAAGAGAGTTCCACAAGTAAGAAGTATGAGAAAAGAAACTGTTAGCTTATAGTTACATCAAGTACTGTACTTAAATTCATAGTTGAGGTACCATAGAGAGAAGTTCACCAGAACAATTACCATGAAAGTATTTATAGAAAAAGTACACAGAAGCTACATTATGGTTGTGGGAAAGAGACTGAAGTTGAGATGCTATGTTAGGACCAATAACATTGCAGATTCTTCTTTGGATTTTAGTGATTATCTGTAAATATGTTTTTTAAAAACTTTAAAGAAATGTTATGAAATAGAATTTTAACTACAAATAGCTTATAGCTAATAAGGATCGATCTCTATTTAAAATAAAAATTGACTGAATGAAAAATGATCAAATATCCATGAAAATAGCTGTTACTTCAGCAGATCATAGACTGAAAATTAAGAATTTATTCTTTTTACTTTTGTGCAATTATTTGTCTTTAGAAATTACATAACCACATCACTTGAGGACTTTCAACAACAGCAGCGACTAAAATGGATAACATGTTTAACTAAGGGAGAATAGCGACATAACTAAGATTCTGACATTCCACATTATATTGAACAAAAGGTTAGGAGGGAAATCCCCATCAATACTTGAAAGAACAATAACAGCTATTGGATATGAGAAACCTATTTTCCTGAAAAATTATTTTAAGAGAATAACTTTATTAATTTCAACTGAATGAATGCCAAATGTTTCCTTATAAGGAAACAGCTAATATTGCCATTACCATTAGAAATTTATTTTGAATGAGCAACAATTATATGAAAATACAAAGAGAAATAGTAATTTCCGGCAAGTGGGGAAACTTTCTCTTTTTCAGTTCTTCTTCTATGTGCCGTGTCCCTTCAGGACATAGACGATCATAGCACTCCACAACTTCCAATCCCTTGTGACCCATAGCAGAATTTCTCTCTGCCAATTTCCCTTTCCACCATCCATTCCCACAAGCTTGTTGTCAGAGGTTGATGACATGCTGTCTTCCTGTATCTCTCTTGCCCTTGATAATCCCTGTAAGAGTTAAGTTCTCCAAGTCCTCCTTTCTCATTTTGTGACCAAGAAATTTCAGCTCTCCCTTTTCGATTCTGTGTATAATTGTTCTTTCTTTAACATTTTCTATAAGACAACTTTGTTGCTTACTTGCTTTATCTATGAAATTCTCAGTATCCTTCTGTAGAACCACATTTCTGTTATCTCCAGTTTTCCATTCAACTGTTAGAAGACTGTCCAGAATTCACTGCTACCTAAGATGATTAATATCACATAGCAGTTAAGCATGCTTTTCTTTGTTTCTACTAACATTTTCCTGTTTCTTAGTATTTTATTTAGTTTTTAGAATACATTTCGCTAATGTGTTCAGATCTCAGTATCCCATCTTCTAAAAAAAGATTACCAATATTGTTTGAGAACTTGAATATTACAGGCATATAGGCACATTGCATTACAACAACAGTGCCTATATGATTATCCAAGTTAAGCAACATTGAGCCTGGTCAGTACCTAGATGAGTGACTGCATCAGAATACCATGTGCTGTAAGGTTAAATGTGCAGGTGGTGTAATGAATAATGGCTCAGAATTGTTAATTGAAGAGCTAAGTTCCAATTCCAGATGGGGTTGTTATATTCACTTATGTGCAAATACCCTTGGAAAAGTCATGAATTCACCTCTTCTTCCCCCAGCTATAGGTTAATTAGTAAAACTTGTATCACTAAACCTTTATTATCTTAAAAAAAAATTCTTACAATCTAAAAATATTTTCTGACTTTAAATGACCTGCAAAGGGTTGATAAGCCATAAAAAGTCAATCAATTAATGTTCCTCTCATTTATGCAAGCTAATTTGGTATGTTACTCACTGTTTCCCCTCTTGCCTTCAATATGTCCTGTGAGTATCAAATTCTCTAAACTCACTTTTTCTTATTATATGTCCCAGAAATTTATTGTCTCTAT